GACATCTGTTGGAGTGTGAGCAGGGTAATATTTAGTGAAGGGATTCAGGAAACCGGTTATTTTCATATAGTCAGACTTGAGTCCTGGAAATGGGAAGTACAATGTCTGCACTTTAAAGGAGGGGTTTGGGATATTGGCAGTTTGGAGGGATATGTTGTGTATCTTTATATGTGTATGCTTCTAAACTGTTGTATTCTGAGCACCTCTGCAAAAACAGTGATAATGTGTGTGTGGTGAAAGTGTTGAATGATGAAAGTGTTTTTTGGGGGGATTTTCCTTCTTTTTTGGGTCACCCTGCCTCGGTGGGAGACGGCCGACTTGTTGAATATATATATATATATATATATATATATATATATATATATATATATATATATATATATATATATATATATATATATAATGTTTCTCCTATGTGCCGATTATTTGTGTTTTTCCAGTCACAGTATTTTGCCATTTTGTTCTTCAGGGCTGCCGCTCTTCAATATAATTATGAGTAACAATAATGATGATAATTACCTCTTGGAGCTGAGTGACTTCTTGAAGGAGAACTTCCTTGTTGAGGTTCTCCACGAAGATCTGGTTCTCATTTGCTTGGCTCACAATGACATCGAGGTCTTCTGAGTATCCCTCAAGTTTGTCCAGCTGGTCTTGCGTGGCGTGGCCATCGTTCACCTCCTGGTTCACTTCCTGAATGCCATCCAGTGTGATGGTCAGCTGGGAACACAGGAATTCAGTCTCGTTTGAGGTTGAGAGGCAAAATTTTGAATCGTTCTCTTCAGCCAGGAAACTTCGAAGTCTGGGAGATCGCAGTCTAGCTGCTTCAGATTTTGTAGATGGTGGGGTAATTGATGTGGTGGTGGTTGATGTCTGTGTTGATGGTGTTGTTGATGTGGTAGTTGATTGTGTTGTTGATGGTGTGGTGGTTGATGTTTGTGTTGTTGATGTGGTAGTTGATTGTGTTGTAGATGGTGCAGTGGTTGATGTCTGTGTTGTAGATGGTGTAGTGGCTGATGTTTTGTGTTGTTGATGTGGTAGTTGATGCCTGTGTTGTTGATGTGGTAGTTGATGTCTGTGTTGTTGATGGTGTGGTGGTTGATGTCTGTGTTGTTGATGGTGTGGTGGTTGATGTCTGTGTTGATGGTGTTGTTGATGTGGTAGTTGATTGTGTTGTAGATGGTGTAGTGGTTGATGTCTGTGTTGTAGATGGTGTAGTGGCTGATGTTTGTGTTGTTGATGTGGTAGTTGATGCCTGTGTTGTTGATGTGGTAGTTGATGTCTGTGTTGTTGATGGTGTGGTGGTTGATGTCTGTGTTGTTGATGGTGTGGTGGTTGATGTCTGTGTTGTTGATGGTGTGGTGGTTGATTTGGTAGTTGATGTCTGTGTTGTTGGTGTGGTAGTTGATGTCTGTGTTGTTGATGGTGTGGTGGTTGATGTCTGTGTTGTTGATGGTGTGGTGGTTGATGTCTGTGTTGTTGATGGTGTGGTGGTTGATGTCTGTGTTGTTGATGGTGTGGTGGTTGATGTCTGTGTTGTTGATGGTGTGGTGGTTGATGTGGTAGTTGATGTCTGTGTTGTTGATGGTGTGGTGGTTGATGTGGTAGTTGATGTCTGTGTTGTTGATGGTGTGGTGGTTGATGTGGTAGTTGATGTCTGTGTTGTTGATGGTGTGGTTGTTGATGTGGTAGTTGATGTCTGTGTTGTAGATGGTGTGGTGGTTGATGTCTGTGTTGTAGATGGTGTGGTGGTTGATGTCTGTTGTAGATGATGTGGTGGTTGATGTCTGTGTTGTAGATGATGTGCTGGTTGATGTCTGTGTTGTAGATGATGTGGTGGTTGATGTCTGTGTTGTAGATGGTGTTGTGGTTGATGTCTGTGTTGTAGATGGTGTGGTGGTTGATGTCTGTGTTGTAGATGGCGTGGTGGTTGATGTCTGTGCGTCTGTTGTAGCTGTGGCATTTCCTGTAGCTGCAGTAATTGATGACAGTGTGTCTGTCGTAGCTGTGACATTTCCTACAGCTGCAGTAGTTGCCTCACTAGACGGGCTGGTGACTGAATGGATAACTAAATCCATCAGCCTATCAAGCGATGTCTGGATGAGGGTAAACTGATCTTTTATCGACTCCAACACTTTTTTCTGAGTAGTTTCTGTAGCAAGAAAGAATCACACCATTCACAAGGTATGCAAATGAAAACAAAAATATGTATAAAATGATGAGGCTGCAAAAATCGCGAGCAAGCCATGCAAGATGCAAAACAAAAACAAGATAGCTCTAGGCCTTTCGTGTTGCAATCAATATATCAGGAGCTTGCAATGCTGTAGAAAAGAGGATCAAATCCGAGCAAACATGCTCGGATTTCATCCATTTTTTTGCAAAACTGCAAGCTCCTGATGATGTGATTGCAACACGAAAGGCCTAGAGCTATCTTTTAACTCCCCAGCCCCGTGCTTTTCTCTCACATCCAGAACTTATAAAGGAACAAAGCTTCAGATGTGAGAGCTAAATAAATCTTTATGTATGACCTTTAATAGGGTTTAAATATGAAAATTAAGGCTGGTTCCTTTCTGTCATCTGAAGTCTAACTTTCAGAGATTTTTAAAGACCTTTATCTGGACAATATTACTACTCTTATTACTACTACTATAATTACTATTACTTTTTACTGTTACTATTGCTACTATAATTACTATTAATATTATTATTACTATAACTATTACTACTATAATTATTATTACTAGTATCATTACTACTACTACTACTAATAGTAATGGTAATAATAACTAAGTTTAAAGTAATTTATTAGCTTTAAAGACTAACCACTACACGAGGGTCATCAAGGTTGCAGGTCACTGTTTACTACCAGCCAAGATTACCATGATTCCTAAAACATGGATTAAAGTAAGATCTGAGGGTATATACACAGATATTAGGCAAGGTTCGTCAGGAAACAGGACAAGTGTTTCCTGAAGCAGGTCTTAGTTATACGATGACCCGCACCTGGAGCTTTTGATCATCTGACCAAGGCCTTCCACTGGCTTACCACTCCTTTAAAAACTAAAGTTATAAGTTCTAATCGATAGATAGTTACGCCTCTCGGTGTATATACACAGATACACACACACCTTGATGTATATTCCCATATCCTTTAGTATAAGCGAGAATGGTAATACTTACGTTGTGCAGCATCGCTGAAGTTAACGGGTAATAACAGCAGCACTACTGCTGTGTGGACTACCATGAGAAGCCTCGACATGTTCCCCTTGGATCTGTCTCGGGAAAAACACACTTATGTACAGTTCAGGACATTTATTAAAGGAAACGTTTAACCACGAGTGACTTCTTCAGTCCTAATACAGAGATAACTGTTCTGTTCAAGATTCGCCGGTATAATCGGCCGTCTCGGGCCTTGTCCAAGAGGTGGCCCGGCCTAGGCTCCCTGTCGTGGGAGTGTCTCAGACCAATGTCTGCCATGGATTAGAGATTAGATTTTGCCACCGAAGTGGCTAGTTTGTTGTGCACCCCATATCCATCCTGTGGGAGCAGAGGTAACGAAGAAAATGAGTATATATAATGGCAGGAGTCAGATGGAAAGTCGCGTGGGTAGTTGTAATACAATTGTAGTGAGACGGATTGGGTCTGAGAAGGTCCTGTCAACATTGTGTTACAGCGGCCTTCAGGAGGGGTAATATCCTGTTGATTAGCAGTTTGGATATGTCGTAACTACCGGACTTTTGATGGGTAGTGCTACCGACAGCAATTAGGGCAGTGTTCCTCCTTTCTTGTGTTCTTATGTTAAGTCTACTCAAGGAAGGTTCCTTGATGCTGGTGAGGGGCTCTTGATCTAGGGAATTGGATGTGCTTCAGTTCCCTGAGTTGAGTCTGTATAACTTCCATCCCCCCTCCCGACAGGTGCTGTATAATCCTACGGGTTTAACGCTCCCCCATTATAATAATCGTACGTTAAGTCCACTCCCAAATATCCAGACGTATTTATTCCATACTCCATCCCTCCAGTCTGATATCCAGTCTTTCATTACCTTTTTATTCATAACACTCAGCTCCAGTCCAGGGGACTGGTTTAGCGCTTCCTTTTTATTATAATTGTGGAAATTATTTAATTTCCGAAGCTATAGTGCCTAATAAGTGTTTAATGTGTTGACTTGGGTCAAAATGTATTTGTAATTTGAATGGAACCAACTGGGTTCCCGCTGCGCCTGCACAGATGTGCGGGGGTATAGGTCGAACTGGGGCACGGGGGGGGCGGCAGTGTTTTGAATGTAGTGAGGAGGCTGTGAAAACCTGGGATCAGGAAATTGGCGTTCACGGCGGCCTAAGGATTAATATGGGCCTCACTTCATAATAGGAAGTGTCGTAACTGTTCCTGGTGAAGAGTGAGGGAACGTGATTTACGGGACCACCGTAAAAAGGTGGTAAAATTAGTGAATAATGGTTTGACCGGGTGTGACTGGTGCGCGGCCATGGTGTGTGTCCAGGGGAAATACCCGTGTGTTAATCCTCACTCATCGGCCTCAGATCTTAATGGAGTGACCTCTAATGTGTATAATAATTATGAGACGTTAAATCGTCTTGTGAATGGTAATGTAATCAGTGATAATAACATTAAGTTAAGAGAATGCGGGATGTGAAATAGATCGCCCTGCTCCGAGTGAACGCGTGATTCTCGTACCGAGGATAGTGAAGTTTTATGGAATCACGACTTCTAAACCGGGACAAACCGACGGATACCTCGTCCTGCTGGAATAAGAACCGTGTCGGTGTAGCAGGACATCGAAATGAGATGGTGAATGGAGGGAATAAGGAGTATCAATCACCCACAGTTAAGTAACCCTTCTAGTTATAGCAGACTGATGCTGGCCAGTTAGGTATGTTGTAATTAGATGGGTCGGTTATGGGTGATCCAGCTACATCAAGTGACCACCAGAGAATATCTGGTAAGTGGTGAGATTATGTACAAGTGTTTTCCTTGATGGATATATCCATGTGTAACCTACCCCACCCCCCTTCATTCAGTTAAACTAATATAATCTATACAGTCCACAATTAATTAGTAGCACCGTACTTGTGGGTGCTATCCAATCCATACTGGTCTCGGATAGATATGGATAAGATTGTGAGGTCGAAGGAACCACCTGCCGTGACCAGGGGTGGTTAAGTTTTCTCACATGTCTACACGGGGTGACTACGGTAAACAATATGGTTGTCTCCCAATGAGTTTACTTGTAAGCATGTAATGTTGAGGTACATAAAGGTAATCACCCTATAAAATTTTCCATAATAATAATCCAGTCCAGGGGTCGGTGAACTTTTTTGGGTATTACCCCAAAACAAATTTGTATACAGAGAGATTACGCACTAGATTTAAAAATTAATAGAAAAACCAAGAAATATATATTATATGAGTGCTATCAGATATCTACAAATGGAATCGTAGATTCTAATGCAATATTTATTTAATAAAATTTTGTATAATTGTATTTATATATTTACTGAGCCTTTATTACTCCCGAGATTTTAATTTTTACCATATTTGGGGGTAATTAACCCCTGGTTTATTGACTGGTATAAAATACAGACAATTTGAAGATTAAGACACATGTACAACGAGGATCAGGACAGGATCATGATCGAGGATCAGGACAGGATCATAATCGAGGATCAGGATCAGGACAGGCTTCAAACCTGGTCCGACAAATGGCTCCTGGAGTTTAACTCCAGCAAGTACAAAGTTATGAAGCTTAGGGAAGAACAAAGAAGACTGCAGACGGAGTACAGGCTAGGGGATCAAAGGCTGCAAACCTCACTTAAGGAAAAGGATCTTGGGGTGAGCATTATACCGAACATGTCCCCTGAGGCGCACATCAATTAACTGCTATAGCATATGGGCGCTTGGCAAATCTAATAACAGTACGTATTTGCACATCTAAGGAGTCATTCACGACACTGTATGTTGTGTACGTCAGGCTTATATTGGAGTATGCAGCACCATTATGGAACCTGTGGAAATTATTTAATTTCCGAAGCTATAGTGCCTAATAAGTGTTTAATGTGTTGATTTGGGTCAAAATGTATTTGTATTTTGAATGGAACCAACTGGGTTCCCGCTGCGCATGCGCAGACGTGCGGGGGTATAGGTCGAACTGGGGCACGGGGGGGCGGCAGTGTTTTGAATGTAGTGAGGAGGCTGGGAAAGCATGGAACCAGGAAATTGGCGTTCACGGTGGCCTAAGGATTAATATAGGCCTCATTTCATAATAGGAAGTGTCGTAACTGTTCCTGGTGGAGAGTGAGGGAACGTGGTTTACGGGACCACCGTAATAAAGTGGTAAAATGAGTGAATAAGGGTAGGACCTGGTGACTGGCGCGTCACCATGGACTGTGTCCTGGGGAAAATTACCCTTGGTTTAATCATCACTCATCGGTCTCAGATCTTAATGGAGTGATCTCTAATGTGTATAATAATTATGAGACATTAAATCGTCTTGTGAATTGTAATGTAATTAATGATAACGCTAAGTTAAGAGAATGCGTGAAGTGAAATAAGTCGCCTTGCTCCGAGTGAACACGTTAGACCTCGTTGTTCCCGTTGTACGAGGTTTGGGATAGTTCTTGTGTATCGGACTTACTTAAACCGGGTCTAACCAATGGATACCCGCGATCCTGCTGGTTAGGTGATCTGTGGCAGGTGGTAGCATGGAACATCGAATTGAGATGGGTGAATGGTGGAAATAGGAGTATCAATCACCCACAGTTAGGGTAACCCTTTAGTTATAGCAGACTGATACTGGCCAGTTAGGTATGTTGTAATTGGAATAGGTTATGGCGGGATCCCAGCTACATCAAGTGACCCCAGAGAATATACTGGTCAAGATGGTGGAGATTATGTAAAAAGTGTTTGTTTCCTTGTGGGAATATCCATGTGTAACCCTAACCCCCCCCCTCCCTTCATCAGTAAACTAATATAATCTATACAGTCAACAATTAATTTGTAGCGCACGTACTTGAGGGTGCTACCCAATATATACTGGTATCGGATAGATATGGTTTAAGATTGTGAGAGGTCGATAGGGGCACCTGCAGTGACCAGAGGTGCGTTAAGTTTTCTCACATGTTTCTACATTGGGGTGGACTTTGGTAAACAAGTATCGTTATTGTCTCCCAAGGAGATTACTCGTATGCATGTAATGTTAGGTTGTACAAGTAATCACTCTATAAAAATTTTCCATAGAACCATACTTGTCAAACACGTAAAGGAGAAAGTGCAAAAGTTTGCAACAAGACTAGTCACGGAGTAGTTAGGGAAGTATTCTTTAGCCTTAGAGTTATCAGGAAGTGAAATATCTGCGGAGATGTGAATAGTGGAGGACGGATCCATACATAGCTTTAAGAGAGGTATGATAAAGCTCATGAAGTAGGGGAGAGTGATCCTAGTAGCGACTAGCGAAGAGCGGCGGCCAGGAACTGTGAATTGTCCCTGCAACCACATATAGTGAGATATGACAGACAGACAGACACACACACCACACACACACACACATACCTCACTCACCACATCAGTGAAGCAGTTTCGCTGATAGTGCTATTGTTCAGGGATTTAGCAAGTGTAACTTAAAGATTTTGTCATTAGGAACCCAAAGGGAGGTGTGCTTTGGTCCCACCTTTTCAACATTTTGATTAATGCCTTATTAATGCCATGGCCTACCAGCCCCATCATTATATGGTTAGTTTTGCTGATGACATAATGATTCACACCACCGGGATTCTCCAACACCTAAAACATTCATTATTCATGTACTAGCCCGTGGTCAGGACCTGGGGTAAATAATCTCAGGGATTAAAACAAAGATACTCACAGGCGTCCTCCTCGGCAGAGAGGCACAGTTCGTCAGATCCAGTTGCATGATGGGTTCTTCTAGTATATGTAAGCAGATACAGGTATATTGGCTTTGAGGTTCACTCTTGGACTGTTGTAACGAGAATTTGTCGCCATTACAAAGAAAGGTTGAGAGCCACTTAGAGCTGTGGCAGTTTTCTCCCAGGTATGGTGCTAATGTGAAACTTGTGGAAAATGATGTTTCTTGACTTATATTAGATCATTGGTTGATTATGCGGCGCCCACTACTTGCCACTCGTGTCTGACGGAAGCTTGGAGGGCTGGAAAAAACTGCAAAACGAAGCACAATGAGATCATCTTAGGTGCATCATACTGCCAAATAATTTAAATATGCGGAAAGATCCCACGAG